ACTCACTCTGACACTTATACTTATAATAAGCCAACAAATAAAATCATTTACAACAATTACGTAAGTCGGTGCCAAAGTATCCATAATGCATTTCGTATGTAAACGGACATGACAAATATATGAAATTTAAGATTGCGTGTTGATGTCTTTTAAATGTATACGCGTTCACTTATAAAAAATTGAAGAAACGAAAAAAACTTTGGTTTCCTCTATGGACCGTCTATACTTTTTTTATATATAAAAAGGAGGGAAACAGTTTTCAATGCCTGTATGATATGTCTGTTTTCTTCCTCTAGTCCAGAAGTAAGTTAGGGTAAGTAATGATAAGCATTGTTATAATGGTCAAGCTCAAGTCAGCTTTGCGTTGAGTTTGTCCGACCAAAGTAAATGTTGTACATTGTTCATCGGTGGAGATTCTGCAAAACACGTTCGAACGCTATGCGTTGAAAAGTGGTAAGAGAATTGTTCTGTCTTTTCCGGATGTTGGGTCATAAAATTGCGCAGTGAACAAAAGCACTTTCCGGTTCTTTTATTAGTAGCATCATGGGAAAATGTATTTCTTTTCTTTTTTACTATTCATTATAATTATTTTATCCATTGCTTTTATTTCATTTTCCCACAAATATGATATTGACAAAATTAGAATAATCATAGCTACTTATATTATTTATATTTGAATTTCAAATAGACAGTGCAGGACGATTATTCTTTTTTGCAGAAAAATCCACTCGGACGATCTTTTTTCCAACCATTCCTTTAATTAAATATTCAAATATAACGTGTTTTCATAGAATGTTCGTAGAATAAATAAAGGAGTAGGTAGAAATTTCTTGAAAAAATTCTCCCTTATCATCCTTGACAAAGTTCAAAAGCGATTACATGACCTTGTGGGTGATTAATTATTTTCCATACTAAAACCCCTTTCTGAAAGACGAAACGTCGCAAGCTTAACGCTACTTTATCGTTATGTTCAAGGAAAATGTTCGGACGATCTACCTCCCTGAGTTCCATCAGTCCAGATCTTTACAGCTAATACGATATACATAGGGTCAACTCATCCGTCTTCCATTGGTAAAGAAGTTTTACTCAGGCATTTTTTTCACAAGAACTCTTATTTCGGGAAACAAACTCTTGAAAAGATACTTCCCTGATCACTATGATCTTAACCTCTTCAAGCCTAGTACCAACCGTTATCTACCCTACGTAAACTCATAATTTATACTTGTCATATCCTATATCATGCAACAACCTCATATTTAACTGGAAATTAGGAGTCCACCTGTTACTCGAAACAGTTTTTTTTAATTAACTGAGCTTTAACCTTTAACCTTTGACATTTTGCTTCTTTTGTCTTCTTTTTGTGACCGACTTCCTTACTTCTACCAATCGAGGCCTTCGCAGTTAAAACCCACATATGTCATATACACTGGAACGAATCATCATCATTCCCTTTGTATTCCATTAGTGAGATGTAAGTTCTGTCTAAAATTCGGCTAACTTTCGACGGAGACGGGTTTAGCTCTATCTTCCGAAAATAGGAAAGACGCATAGAGAACCCAGGTAACAATTGGTTGAGTTGCGGAAAAGGTGCTCTTCGCGACGAAGCAGAACAGGTGAGTGGTTAAAGGTAGTAGTCACTTCGTCTATTAACAGGGCCCCATTTTAAGTCAAAAACACAATCACATTGGGAGAACACAAAACTATTCAGTTAAATCTCCCGAGCAACCAACTACAGTGCTTCCACCCCTATGAGGAGAGTTCATAGCTGGTAACCTTTATTTTCACATTTCCACTTGAACAGCTTCTTCCCAGAAACCGCCTTCTTTTGTGGAACCGACTCCCAAGAGGATGCTTCCCCGATCACTGCGGTGTGTTGTTCCTCGATGGTACAATTTCTGAGTGGAGCGTCTATACATTTGATCTCATTGCTCCTTATCACTCGATTGAAAGATGAAGTACTGCGCGTGGCTAGTGGCTTTATTTTCTGATTTGGTCGCGTATAAGTAACTTAATATTTACAATTCAAACAATAATAAAAAATCAGCTTAGTGATTGATTTGCTTGTTTAACGGCATATCAACTCCTCAGGGGTCATTTAATGTCGAAATTTAATTTTCTTGGGAGCTTGGAAGTAATAAAAATATGATATATGTTATTCTGCTTTCACAATTGAATACATGGTAGACAATACTAAGCTTTTGCTGGTTCGTTGATTTTTTAGTAGCATTTAATGCCGAAAACTAAATGTTTTTTACATAATTTTATACTGTCAGGGTAAAAGGTAGTTTTTTTTAAATATATAGTTTGTCGATCATAAAATGTATTGCTGGTAATATCACTACTAAAATGTACTGTTGGTAATGTTTTTATAAAAAACTGTAATTGCTTGCATTTTTGTGCTTTTTTAGTGTTGTATTGTTGTCATTTTGCTATAAAAATGTATTGTCAGTCATTTTGCTATAAAAATGATCTTTTGATTGGGCGGGGGTACTATTTTCCCTTAGTTGGAACCCTAATGTGTTATCACCCCGGATTAGGATGGATCTGGGAACAACAGCAGTTAAGAGGTAGTTCGATGTTCCTAAAAACCTTCTGTCTCCCGATCAAAGGCCTTGCTGCCGGATATAGTTTATCGTCATACCCAGGACGAGTTTTCTAATAGTGCTCAATATCAGATGTTTAAAATCGCCTTAAAATACTTCAGAAATGTATAAAAACGCAGTTTTTTTTACAAGCCTTTTGGCATTACAGTCAGTTTCACGATAAAAATAAATACTCAGATGTCGGAAGAAATAGTAAAATTGTTTAAGTCATAGGTTTCTTTATAGAAAAGTAATTGTCAGTATAGATATAGTGTAATGGCTATCGACGCGTAAAATGAATTGGGCCTGTCTGCCGTGTTCAATTCCCGCTCGATTCTGCTTCGTTCATTTCTTGCTGAAATCGCATGTTACTCCAAAATCCGGAAGAACATTGAAATAGCAAAAGGTTAAACAGGAAAACTTCGATCAAAACAAAGTGAAAAAGCATTGAACTGCTATGTAATATCAATCCTCCTATATGTAATATCAATCCTCCTATATAGCAGTGAATGCTGGACAGTCTCCTCACAGATGAGACGAAGAATTGAAACAACAGAATGTAGTTCTACAGAAAGATGTTGAGAATACCATGGGCAGAACACGTGAACAACAAGGACATTTAGAATTTAAACAAAACCTTTACTTAAAAAAGATACTGTTGAAATTTCTTGAACGCATAATCCAGAAAAGAGTTCTTGGATAATTTTTACACTAACAGGACGTATTGAAGCCAAACCATGTAACGTTTCAAATACGTTACCTTGTAACGTTACATCAACAGAAAATATATAATAAAGACCGCGAACGTCCATTCCTTCTTTTAATTATTTATTCTAAATTAAAAGAAAATGTGAAAAGAAATTTGATACCTTCTATATATATTTTCAGAAAAGAAAAATATTCAGATAATATTTAACTAGTGCGACATTTTTCAGCTACAAAACTTCGCAATGTTACCATAACATTGTGAAAACTTCGGCGACGAGGAGTTATTTTACAAAATAGTTCATTGCAACTCGGGTCACCACAATATCACAAAATACAACTTGTCTGCAACGTTGCATAAGCGTTCGCTGTTGGATGGGGCCATTGCATCTTATATTTTATTTAGTGAGGTTGCTTATTTTATTTAGCACTACAATGTAATTAATTAAAAGATTTTTCTCCTTTTTCTTTCAGCGTCATCATAAGAGGTGTTGTTATAATAGCAGTCACATTATTGTGATAAAATTTATATTGCACCGAAAACACATCACGAAGTTAAAATTTGCTTATAGAGTTAGATGTCAAGACGACAAGAGTTAGGATCACTTGACACGAAATGGGTCCGTCTGTGTCGAAAAGCAGGTCCAGCGACGAATTGCGAAGTCATTTATTATTATTATTATTATTATTATTATTATTATTATTATTATTCTGGTTCTTTCTTTGGTGAAAATTAAAAAAATCTTTTCATTTTTATTAAAACTCGTGTTATCAATTTATAGCAGATTCCAGAGGTTGCAAAACTGCCTTTTAAATTCTGACATATTAATGGTTTTACACACACACACACACACACACACACACACACACACACACACACACACACACACACGATTATAATATATCGTACTCATATTGCTAGTGTTAATAAAGCAGTGCTCGATGTAATACAACAAAGCTATTAAGTATATATATATATATATATATATATATATATATATACAGAAACGATTAATAAGAACTAATAAAGTCTGTCTGTTTATATATATATATATATATATATATATATATATATATATATATATATATATATATATATATGTGTGTGTGTGTGCATGTGTCTGTGTGTGTGTGTGTGTGAGAGAGAGAGAGAGAGAGAGGAAAAAGACAAGATGAAAAACTATTCCTAGCCGACGCGTTTCGTCATCTGAGGGACTTTATGAAGTTGCTCAGAGGACAAAACGCTTATAGTTTTTCATCTTGTCTTTTTACTCATTTTGTTCCTTTACCGACACATTCTATCTGAAAATAATTTACACACACACACACACACACACACATATATATATGTGTGTGTGTATGTATGTATGTATACGTGTGTGCGTATATGTGTGTGTCTTTATAACCATTAACATGCCAGAAATATGCATGAAAATCTACAAAATCTATCTATCTATCTATCTATCTATCTATCTATCTATCTATCTATCTATCTGTTTGTCTGTCCTAGTCTTTTCATATCTATTTTCCTTTTTCTTTTCTAATGGACCTTATCTAAGCAAATGTAAGGATTTACTTTGATAAACTCAGAAGACGAAATGTGTCGACTAAGATAAGTTTTCCATTCGTCTTTATTCATATTGTTCTTAAATTTTACAAATAAGAAGATGGCGTATTGATTGTCTATCATTAAAAAATGGACTGATTGAAAGAAAAACACCGGTTTTCGTGCGATCAGCGAAGTTAAGCAACGTTGAACCTAATCAGTACTAGATGGGTAACCACTTGGAAATACCAGGTGCTGTAAGCTTGGATGTATCTGTGGTGTAATAGATGGCTGCACATAAATTGGTCCCGAGTTCTAATTGCAGTCTTGTTCATTACATTCGCCTACGTGCAAATAACCTTGGAAATAGTTTGAATCTGCCTCTTCTTTAACGCACCCCCACCCCGGCTAAGGTTAATTAGTAGGACTAGTATCAGTAGATCATATACGAGGGTCATTCAATAAATAAGGTGAATTTTTCGGTATAAAGACTTCTAATACAGATAGAAGCTTACTTTTTTTTATCTTTCAACGTAGTCTCCCAGTACTGTCACACACTTTTCCCATCTGTGCACAAGCTTCCGTATTCCCTCAGCGTAAAAATCTTTGGACTGATGTCTCAGCCAGTCGATCACAACACTTTTGACTTCATCGTCACTTTTAAACTTCGTGCCTCTCGTAAACGCTTTCAAGGGACCAAACAGGTGAAAGTCTGAAGGGGCAAGGTCTGGGCTGTAAGGGGGATGAGGGAGCAGTTCCCAGCCCAGCTCGTTGATGGTCTGCACCGTTCGGGCTGCTGTGTGAGGCCTTGCGTTGTCATGATGCAAGATGACTCCTTCTTACTGATGACCCCTGCGTTCGTTCTTTATGTCTTTCTTGACATGCCTCAGCAGTTCACAGTAGTTTTTCTGTCAGACTGAATGAGGTCATTGACTGATTCGATCACCACAGGAGACCTCACTTCTGTAGGCCTCCCAGGCCTGTCTTCATCCTCAACACTGCTCCGTCCTTCTTTAAACAATTTAGCCCACTTGTAGACATTTTTTGGCTGAAACATGTGGCACTATACACAGTTGACATTCTCCTATGAATTTCAACTGGTTTGCACCCTTCAGCAACCAAAAACTTGATAACTGACTGGAGCAGGCTTCTTGGTCGGCCATCTTTGTTAATCGCCAAAACTCTCAAAGTTTTTTTTAATCTGCAAAAGAAATTAAATCCATGTGAAAAAGAAGTAAAACAAAACAAAAAAAAAAAAAAGTAAGTTTCTATCTGTATTAGAAGTCCTTATACCGAAAACTTCACCTTATTTATTGAATGACCCTCGTATTTTTTAACCCTCGACTGTTTAAATCAGGCAACCTGAAGACAGAAGAAACTGACTTTGATTCTTCCTCTTCTTGATCCTTTCTGTGGACTTTCAGTTAGCTTGGCGGCATCCATCTCCCAACGACGAAGTTTTAAAGAAAATGGAACACAAAAAGGAAACTAATACTTAACACCAGGAAGAGAGAATTGAGGTTTTTGGGGCACATAATGAGCAAGGAGGGCTTGGGAAATTTGATACTCACGGTACAGATAGAGTGCGAGAGGGACAGAGGAAAACAACGCTTAGTGAGCTTGAGTAAATGGATGGCGGAACAATGTTTAAGAGAAATAACTGAAAGGCAAAATTTATTAAGAGCTACAAGGGACAGGAAGTTGTGGAGGGCTATAATCGTGTACGTCCTAATGGGTCACGGAACATAAAGAAAAAGGGATCTTTTCTGTTAACTCAGCCCAAATAATGAAAAGTTACTTATCGAAAATATTAATTCAACCCAAGAAATTATATATTTTAAATCAAACTTTTTTTTACCTTGCTATAAAGTTGCCAGAGAGAACAGTCTGCAAATTATTGGACACAATCCAAAGCTGTATTTTACCTGTGACTACGATTATATCGGATTATTTGAAGGATGATCCCAATTATATTCATTTGACAGTATGAATTTTGTTGACCCAGTAGTATCAGCTCACGGACAAACAATCGAAAGTGAACATCGGAACGCCAAAATGAAGAATAGGTCCATTCAACGAAGCATTATAGACTCCTATTTGTGTGAATTCCTTTGGGAACAATGCAAAAAATAACAATGAATGTATTTTTGAACAAATTTTAAAGGACATTTCTGAATTTTGATGTGAATTTTAGTAAGTATAAATTCTTTTTATTTTGGGGTGAATTAGTATTTTGGAGTGATTTAGCAGAAAACATCCAGAAAAAGTTTGACACAAGAGTATCGTGATGGAGTACTTAGTGAGGCATGAACATATTACGCTTGTGTCCTGGTTTCCAAAATGGAGTACTTTAGACTGCTATTATATATGAATATACTAAGTTGGGATTGGTGTGTTGAATGTAAGCGAGAAAAACGAACGACAGGAAATTAAAGATTTAGAAAAAAAAAAAAAAAAGGAATGTATAAAAAAAAATTAGCACTCTTGCTGGTTTTCTCTAGAAATGAATTTAATTTTTGACTTTCAACGATTTGTTTTTGCTTTATATCTTTTGTTGTTTCTTTTTTTTATCTTTCTGCTGTAGACTATGCCTCGTCAGTTTCGTCTGGAAACCACCTTTTTTACACGGACATTAATATTGATTAAGCTTGTTAAAGTTAAGAAACATGCACACAGTCTCTTCACACGAATCTTTACACACATTTCATAAAACACACACATGCAAAATACCAACCAAAATGTTTGGATAACGATCATGAAATATTCATTTACTCTAGCAACAATTTCCCCCTCTCAGTTGTTTGCTCCCAAAGGGTAGCGGCAAAACCAGTACTACCTGATTATCATCACTTTTGACCCCCTCAAGTGACATTTATCCGAGAAGCAGTTTCACTTGCTTTAGACATTCAAGGATGTCCCTAGTCGCTTGACACCAAGTTTTTTTTCCAAGAGGCGTATACACCGATGGGATCGACCGATTATTGACCTGGAGAGGGATAGGTCCTGGTAAGTCTCCTTACCCAGGACACGACCCGTGTGATTCTTCAGGTTTCAACCCGGATATAAGCACGCAGACGTGAGGAGGGAGATAGTCGGGTGCTCAGTAGAGAAGCGACGATAGGGCCACATCTTGTCATGGGACTGATGATGATGATGATGATATAAGTATATTTATCTCGATGGTGACCGTGAAAAAATAGCATACTAATATACACTACTGTGCAAAAGTAAGTAAATCCCTAAGAAAATATTTAAAATAATTTCTTTTTTTCAGATAATCAACAAATCTTAATTAAACTATATATTCATTAAGAAAAACCATTGTTAGATGAATTACAACCACTTTTAAAGTTTTTTTATCAAGCTGGAATAAAAATATTAATTAAAAATTAAGATGTGCAAAAATAAGTGCATCGTATAGTCATAAACATTTTGGATAAGTAAGTATTTGTATATTTGTACATAAACATTTTGGATAATTAAGTATTTGTACATTATTTTTCAGAAAATCCCTCGTAATCTGGGAATTGTTTTAACAGTGGATGTTAAATGTGACACCGAAATCCGAACACGCAATGGAATAGTAAATGATTCTTTCTAAAATCAAAACAAATACTAAGAAACAGAAAAAATTCGTTAAAAAACAAAAGAGTGCTGAACTGCTATGTAAATTCAATCCTCCTATATGCCAGTGAATGCTGGTACAATCTTATCACAGATGAAGTAGAGACTCGAAGCAACAAAACTTCTTGTAACACCAAAGATGGACTGAAGGCAAAGATTATAGCAGCATTCACCAACTTAAAAGGAAACCGTCCGGAAGAGATAGATGGAGGGGATTCCGAAGTCGTCTGGAGGCTGTGGTTGAAGCCAATGGCGATTTTATTGAATAAATTTTCTCTTTAGTAATAATCTCGTTTTTTTCTTAAAATTTTAGATAAAAAATAGAGTTTTAAAAAAATTGTATAAGTAAGGGAAATGATACATTGTCTTCAATTTTACAAAAAAATTCAAACAACCTAAAGCATGTTATTTTTTGTTTTTAAGGTAAATATTTACCGTGCAAAAAAGGGACTCACTTTTTATACAGTATTAATCATGTAAAAAATTAATGTAATATTTTCTTAAAAATGAAATTTAGTAAAATAAAAAACAAAAGAAACGTTTCATTAGTAATTTATGTTTTCACCTTTGTTTTTCAGAACTTTGTTTCGCATACTCTTAATGAGATTTTTGTAGATGTCATTTCCTAGCAAACTGTTCCACTGCAAAATAAAATTTTCGATCAAAGCTTCTTTGTTTTGAATGATTTTCTTCTAAATTCTTTTATTACACTCCATAAATTCTCGATTGGGTTTAGGTCGAGAGACTGCGGTGGCCATACCATAACATTGACATTTTTTTTGTTAAAGTAATTTTTCATCTGCTTTGATGTATGGCAGGATGCATTGTCTTGCATAAAAATGAGATTTGATTGATCAATTTCGGCAGATGGCAGCAAGCAAGTGTCCAATATTTTTTTGTCTACTGGTTTGAAAAATCCATTCCTATTGAATGAGAAGCAACCCCAAACCATAAAATTGGTAGGATTAACTGTCATTTTCAAAGGGTTTTCTTCGCTTTTCCGTCTGATTTTCGTTCTTTTGTCTTGAAAACATTTTAATTTTTGTCTCGTCGGAGAAAAAGAATAATTTTCCAATCACTCTAAGTGTTTGCCAATGCTAAACTTTTAGCCTTGTGTGTTTTATTTAGGAGTGGCTTAAAAACTTTTGAATAGGCTTTGTAACTTTCGTTCAAGAGTTATCTACATACAGTAGTTGAATTGACACGACGAGATCATTTTTCGAGCTAGAAACAATTTATTTACTGGTAATTGACCGGTTGTGGTTAATTACTCTAATGATTTTGCTGCCGGTTCTCTCATCGATCTTGTGTTTTCTACCCCTGTTTTCTACCTTGAGGAATGTTTCAGTGAAATTAAAGCTTCTCAAAACCCCCGAGACAGTTGACTGACAAGTGTTGACACTATTTGCAATTTATCAAGTCGATTTACCAGCTTTTAACATGGAAACTATTGCTACTTTAACAGATTGCGCTATTTGCTTATAGCTTTTCATAACAAATGACTAATTAATTATATTTTTGGTTTCTTTTATATACTTTAAAATAATTCTAGAACTTTCTAGAATTTTTAAGAATATTCGGAAATAAAATCATGGAAATAAAATTACAAGGTGTTTTAAAATAATGACACATTTTTTAATGAGTCACTTTTTTGCACAGTAGAAAATTTGTTAAATACTCAAAAATGGTCATTTTTTTTTATTTTTTCAAAAAAATAATAGCCTTAGTTATTTTTTAAAATTTTACTAATAATATATATATTTTTAATTGAAAAAATAAATAAATTTTTTTGCTTGCAATTAAAGTTTAAAATAATTGAAAAACTTATTGATGAGTCACTTTTTTTGGCGCAGTATAGTATTTTAGGCTGTTACAATTGGTAAATCTTTCCGTAACACAAACATATTAACACACAAGGACACAAGGCATTAGTTCGTTTCATCTTCAAGCGAATATATTCGCTTGAAGATGAAACTGAACTAATGCATTTAATTTAATTATATAATTAAATTTAAAGTTTTTAGCTTCCATTTTTGAAACAAGGTTATTACTGTGTAGCGAAAAAACCATATTTTTGAGTTAATATATATATATATATATATATATATATATATATATATATATATATATTAGGATATTAAAACAAAAACATGTTAAAAATTGCTACACAATGGCAAATATGTTTCAACACTACAAATGTGTCTCTCCAGGCGATGGTAAACTACTGGCGAATATTGAGTCCACTTTTAAATTAAATGTTATGGACTGTTAAATTATACACCATTTGTTCTCATTTTACCTCGATATATATATATATATATGATAAAAATATATTTTTAAAGTATGCTATATTTATAGGTTAAAATGCTGAAAATCGGGGATAGAGTATATGGAAATGTAAATCTTCAGGCCTGAATTTTGCGTTCAAGCATGAAACAGATTGTCGGTACTCGGTGTTGGCCTTAATGTCCACTTTATATACATATATTTTAATCAGTTCACCCCAAGTCAAACAATGCTGCCACCAAGACGTAAGGTGCTGCTGCGAGTGAAAGAGAATGAAAAGAGAAACCAGAAACCCGATCCTATACATGAAACAAGGGACACACCTCTACCCTCGTTCAAAAAACCCGGTAGGAGTGTGAGGAATATGTAGTTTCCAAGAATATATTTTCCTCGTGAATTTACATTTTCCGCTATTTTCTATGCCTTTCTTTCTTTCTTTCTTTCTTTCTTTCTTTCTTTCTTTCTTGCGGTCATCCTTTCCTTTCTTCTCGAATGCAATCACACAGAATAAAACCAGTTGTCGACGAGGTGAAATCAGCTTAACTCTGGTGCTGCCTGCCATACAATTAAACTCGTTCTGGGAAAAGCCCCGAAATTAATTACCAATTCAAGTTGACAAGTGTCGACAACTGGTAAGTAACGCCAGTCATCTGTAATGTAAGTTATTTATATATATAAGTTTTTTTTTTCTGATTCATGGTGACATGAATCTGAAATGAAATTACAAGAACGTGCTTTTTGTACCAACATTGCCAGAGCCAAACACATTTTGTTAGATACGCGTCGCTGATTCTTGTAACAAAATGAAATCTTCAACTGAATATGCGGCTGAATAACTTAAGGCCGGAATTTATATCCGTTTGACACCGAAAATTGCATTTCCACAACATTCATTGAGAAAAATCGACCATTACTCGGAAGCTGGCTACCGAGCCGCAGTTCTTCCGCCTTCATCACAAGTATGAAACCATTTACTACTTTGAAAGGTTGTATTTAAGGAGGACTAAGGGGTCCTAATTAAACACTTTTTTGAAATCAGTGATCCTTCAACCAAGACAGAATGACAAAGGTTTAACAAGCAATGGTCGAAAGAGGATTCGTGACCCACCGACGTTATTTTTTTCCCAATGCAAATCATAGGCATGGATGTGTGGATCGTGTAATGGATAACTGATCGGAATTATCCAAGTTCGAATTCCAGTCGTGTTTGCTACATTCACTTATACGAAAATACCCTTGGGCGAACATGGATCGAAAACTGATGATCGCCCAAGCGTGTCACGCCCATTCCAAGCAACACACACTTGGTCAACGCTGTAGGATAATAGCCCATTTCTTCCCATGAATCTGAGGAAGACCAACGATAAAATAAAGGATCTTCACAAACTGAGAAGAAGAAGAAGATGGTGCCTTTTTCTGATGATGATGACACAACTATATACTTCTGTCTTAATAGTACCATAAGTCTGGCAAAGTAGAACAGGCCGTTGCTCTCAAAAATCAATTGTTAACTGGGGCAAGAATGGCGTATAAATTTTAACGCCTCAAAAACTAAACAGTTATATTTTAATCACCATGGAGAACAAGTTGCATTAGCATAGTTGATGCTAACCTCCAGTAGAGTCACCCATTGCACTTTCATGGTCTCAGGTCTTCCACTGGCAGAATCCCGGAAGTGTAAGAAAAATGAAGCAATGTATGACTCTCCAAAATAGTTTAATCGTTTTAAGAGCAACATGATCTTTGAATCAAAGCCCAGACAAGGGACAGCAATCAATTTTCAATTATGATGCTTTAAAAGGTAAGCTAAAAGATAGCGTGACTCAAGAACACACACAAAAAATTCTGAAGAGTCAGAATCATCGAAATACAGTATATATAAAACCTTATTTTTTAATCATTTCACCCTCATTCAAAGCCAGAAAGCCACCAATACATAAGTAGGGTTACTGAGTGTGAAATAATATCAGAAAAAGAAAAAAAAATTACTCTGAAGAAGCGAGAACAATAATGAACAGGAATTAAGAAGACAGTAGATGACAATTGACATTGCATTTAAATTTTTGAAGATCATTGACTGGAGCCAGAAGAGAGTTGCACATGCGAGAAGTGCGAGAAAAGAAACAATTAACATAGAACTTACGGTTACATCTAGCCAAATCAACTGTAAAAGTATGAGATCTTACTGCCAATCTCTTACCGCGTTTAAACTCATAAAATCTAGGTACCATAGAGGAAAATTCCTCAGAACAATTGCTATGAAAGTATTTATAGAAAAGATACAGGGAATTTACGGCGGTGGGGAAGTGACTGAAGAACCAATAAAATTGCAGATTGTTCTTTGGATTTTATCAAGATTCTCTAAATATATAGCAGGAACAGCAGACCAGATATGGCAGAAATATTCAAAGCCAGGAAGAATGACAGACTTATAAATAGGTAAGATAGATTCTAGCGAGAAAAATTGTCCAGCACGACACATGGAACCAACTTTCCTAGCATCTGATTTGATATAATCTTTCCACTTCTTGACAACAGAAAAATTTAGCCCGAGAAAGCATAATGAGTCACTCTCTTGGAGGTTAGCATCAGCCATGCTGATGGAAGGCAAAAAGGGTTCTCTTAGGCGATTAATAGAGAGATTAATAGTTTCGTTTAGGACGCGTTAAAATTAGCAAGGACAAGAACTCTTCAGAAACTTGAAAAGTAAATTACTTTTGATATACCTTAATACGAACGCTAAACAACATTGTTCATCCATGTAGCGAAATAACTAAATCTTTACATCTCAGTGTCTGAATTTGGTGCTTGTCGTTGAGGGATATTTAACGAAATATTCATATTGTCTATTGTTAATCTCGTAAGCTCAATTCTCCTTGAATGCCCTTGTGTCAAATTAAATTATGCTTAGTCCTACGACGCTTATCTTGACACTAGCATTGCGAATTTACTCCTCTCAAAGTAATCTACAAACTTAGCCTTGTGCCAGACTAAATTCTATTTAGTAAATCTCGATCTCCGAATCAATTTATTGCAAATGACAAGGATGCTTAATGTAAAATTTATCCAAGTTAAATAAATGTTGAAAAAAAAAAACAACAAAAAAACAGAAACAAAAAAAGTTGCAACTTATTGTTCTTTTCTCACTTCTCTTCACTAACGTCTTTTAATTCTCAACCACTCCCTGTAACCTCCTGCGTCCTGGTGACATGATCACTTTCCTTGGGGTGAAACGATTTAAAAAAGAAAAATCTACAATCTTTTCAGGGTGTCTTTTTGATTCTCTAAAATCAGAAGTAAAAAAATAATTTAAGACTGATTCGTTTTTTACAGTTTATCAACGCTTTTCAGGTTATTTAAAGCTATAAAATGTTTTTAGATTATAAGAACTTTTTTGGAGATAATAATGGTTTAATGATATAAGTCTTACTAATTAATCCATATCTGGAGGGTGAAGAAGTGGAACCACACCTTTCCCAAGGGTATTTGCGTATAAGTGAACTCGGCTCTCCGATTAACAATTCAGAGTCATTATCCATTAAGCCACCCGCACATCTAAGCTTACAGCACCTGGTATTTTCAAGCGGTCACCCATCTAGGTAATGGCCAAGCACGAATTGGCTTAACTTCGGTGATCGTACGAGAACCGGTGTTTCAATGTGATGCGGCCATAACCCTCAAAGCAAGTAGAATGCAGAGAGTCAAGATTTCCCAAGAATATGGACGCTTTCACTTCCGGTTGCGGACGCTCATGATTCTTCATAACTTCCTGTCATAACTGAAACCTACGTTTGATTTTTTACCGTTCTCCCTTGTCCCTACTGAGCCATCCATTCACACAATCTTTTTGGCAAGTCGCTCGCTAATTCCTTCTTCTCCTTTCCTCAATACATCCTTTGAGTGTTGAGTTTTCCAAGCCTTCTTTCTTAGACATCCCAGAAATTTCAACTGTCTGGTTTCTGATTTTAAGTACGAGTTTCCATTTCGCATTATCTTTAGAACTATTTCTTTGTCACGTATTCTGGCCACGCTATTCCATCTAGGTACTGACCAAGCTCGATGTTGCTTAACTTCGGTGATCGTACGGGAATCGGTGTTTCACTGTGATGTGGCCGTAATACCCTACCTTCCGGTCGAGTATCACTTGATCCCGAACGTTTTTATATTTTTATACATTTTATTCCCTTTTTCCTACTTATTGACAGTGGATGGTTGCTTTTAAACTCTCACGTCACGATTTTACTGATGACGCACTGGGTATAAATAAAAACCGCTGGCCGCTGCAAGCCCAGATAAAATAACAATTCAACTTGACTACATGATTGCCTAATCAATCCATTGTGTTACAACTTGAAATCATGTGACCCATATTTACTTAAGATGCTCGATTCTGGCAATCGGAAAGGGATGTAATCATCGCCGTCAATATGGTATTGTGCGTGCTGTGCTTGAAGAACTATGAGGAGTAATTTTATCGAATAACCAATCTTGTGTATGATTTTCCAATATCCCGATAGTAGATAGTAACAGTTGGCGATAAACAATCTTTAAAGCTGATTTATTTTATTCTTTTTTAAAAAAAAATCACAGAAGCAGTGTTAAGGATAATAGATAAGATCTTAAAAACTGAGTTTCTTTCAACTTCTCAAAAACTTTTCCCAACACTTACCAGACCCTCACCAGATCAATCACCCATCAGCGAGCCTGAAGCAAAAAGGTATTATTTCTTGAATCTTTGTTCGCCAAGTCAATATAAGAAACAATTAGTTTGGTACAGGTTTAAATTGCGGACGTACTGTGAGGATCGAATCCATTATTGTAATAATAGTCTGTTTCATAGCATTCTAACCATCTCTTAATGGTTAAAAATCAGTTATTTAATAATTACTTAATTTTGCAAACGGACACCTAAAGACGATCATACTTATACAGTAACGTGTAAGATTAACCCGATAACAAACACTATAAATATTTATGTGGTTGTATTTGCGGGGTACATAATGTGGATCAAATTCACTCTACTAGAAATTAGCCAGTGAAATGAAATTTTTCGGCATCATTTTATACCAAGTGCTAGTGATGCTTAATAGAGTGCCATAGAGAGAAAATAAGATTTGTCATGAATTGCGATATTATTCTGAGAGATGTCTTAAGAGAACTTCCAAAAGCTAACCAAAGTAGTGCGAAACAGGACAATGCTGTTAGAAATAAAGTATCCTCTTGTATAGCATTGAATGCTGGACGATCATCTTACAGATGAAGGGAAAACTGGGGTCAGTAGAAATGTGGTTCTATAGAAAAATGCTGCGAATACTAAGGACGGAGCGCAGAAGCAACGAAATCTTAAGGAAAATGGTAACAAAAAAGACATATTCAGAATCAAAATCAAAGAGACAGCTGAAATTCACTGGACATATAAGGAGTGCTTGGAGAATTTGACACTAACAGAACACGTGGAAGTCAAAGGAATAAGAGGAGGGTTGACGAGCTTGTGTGAATGGATGATGGAACAGACGTGAGAGGGATGGCAAAAAGATAAACTTTACTCAGAGCTACAGAGTCGCGGAGAGCCATAATAGCCCATGTTATGAAGTGTCACAGCACATAGATGATAATGATGATGAAGAAGAAAACTATATTAAAGCATGTTTATTGCTTAAATCGAAAAATGTTCGGAAACGAGAGAGAGAGAGAGAGACAGACAGAGAGAGAGACAGAGACAGAGACAGAGACAGACATTAATATAATATTAGTTTTGTTATCATACAGTCAGAGTAACAAATTGAAAGTTGATACTTGTATGTTTAAGAAAAGAATGAAGAAACAACATTTGAGTAAATTTGCCATATTGAGCGACACGGGAAAATAGCCCAGTACGAGATTCTGAATCGACGTTTTTTAATTATTAGTAGCTTTAGTTACTGACATTTTTTATTAGTAACCTCAGTGTCCTGGGTATGACGATAATCTACACCCGGCAGCAAGGTCTCTGATCGCGAGGTTTTGAGGAGCGTGGAACCAACTCTTAATTGCTGTTGTTCCTAGGTCCACCCTGACTCGGGGTGGCTGATGATATCATAGACCGAGCATGTGAGTGACATGAGGTCTTGGAGAGGATGCAAACCAGGTGGAAGCTTATACTTAACATAAGGAAGAGGCAGATCAAATTTCTGAGACACGTGATGAGAAAGGAGGGCCTGGAGAATCTGATACTCACGGGAGGAATAACGAGAAAAACAGACGGGGGAAAGCAGTGCATGGCATACTTGGCGGGCTTGGGTGGCTGAATGGTGGAGCGTGGTCTGGAGTAGTTGGCAGAAACACAAAACCTGTTGAGAGTCACAAGGGATAAGGGGAAGTGGAGGGCCATGATCACCTACGTCCTGAAAGGACACGGCACATAAAAAGAAGCACTTATTAAAATCCCAAGTATGGGTAAATAATTAACACCAAAAGTGAAGTCAAATCATTACGAAAATATAAAAATACATTTTTATAGTAAAAATTGCCAGCAACACATTATTGTAAAAATACATTTTTGTCCTACAATTTCTTAAAGAAACTGAACTGTATTCCAAAATATAACTTCAGCGTAACTACAACATAGAACACATACATATATTCACCCCATTTAGTAATTATGTCCATAAAAACATACAACAAAAGCTGTGTATCATTTACCATGTATTCAATTGTGAAAGCAGAATAACATATCCTATTTTTATTACTTAAAATCTCCCAAGAAAATTAAATTTCGGTATTAAATGATCCATAAGGAATTGATATGCTGTTAAACAAACAAAACAAACAGTTTATACCACATTGAAATAACTTTGTAGAATATTTAACGCTAGAAAATATTTTTAAATTGTAAGAATTTTTACGTTTTTTGTTTGGAGATAATAATGACTTAATGATACAAGTCTTACTAGTTAACCCATAGCAAAGGGGAGAAAAGGTAGAGTCATACCTTTTCCAATCGTATTTGTGTGTAAGTGAAAATAACGAATCCAACTGGAATTGGAATTCGGTTCTCCGATTAACAATTCCGAGCCATTATCCACTACACCACCCGTACATGGTATTCCCAAGCAGTCAACCATCTAGGTACTGACCAGGCTCGACATTGCTTAACCGGTGATCATACTGGAACCGGTGTTTCAACGTGATACAGCCGTAAGTCCGCTTCCTGGAGAAGTCATGGCAATACACACATATGAAAGAAAAAGAAATCAAGACGGTGGAGATTATAATTATCCACAATGTCCTGTATTATGTAGCTTTTATTAAATTTTGTCTTTTTGCAATCTTATAAACACTGTTCTGCTATTCATTTACACAAGTTTGTTAGGTAGGTGTTGCTCTGTACCTCTGCTTTTCAATATTTCCTGTGAGTGACAATTTTTCCAAACCGTCTTTCCTCATTATGTGCCCTTGAAATTTCAACTGTCTCTTTCTGATGTTAAGTACAAGTGCCCTTCTTGTTTAGATGTTCTCTAAAACTTCGTCGTGGTTCACATTTTCATTCCATGGTATTCTCAGAATCCTTCTGTACAATCACATTTCTTTTGCTTCAAGTCTCTTCTTTATCTGTGAAGAGATTGTCCAGCATTCACGGCTACATAGGAAGACTGATATTACGTAACAGTTCAGTACACTTTTCTTCGTTTTTAGCAAATAATTATTTTTATTAAAACTTACGTACTTCCTCCTATTATAATAACTATTTTTTAGTAGTCATGATGACAACAGTCTTCGTGGATTTGATCAATGACCTAAAAGAAGGAGTTAGCTCCCCTTGCAATTGTTGATCTACCTCTAGGCAATATCTTTGTCACTTTTTTTCCGAAAACACCCACAGAGAGATATTTTAAGAGCTGCCTGACAAATAATGGTCTTAAATTCTTTAATAATTGATCATTATAAGTTGATGAGCATTTATTATTTTCGTTCTTCGATTCTGTAAGTTGAAGCATCGTTACTATTAATTTTAACTGCTTTTTTTCTTACATCTTCGTTACTTTTTATTTAGTAGTACTAGCCGTGGTAGATATAATAATTACGAAGGCTCTGATTTTATTGGATGAAGCATTATTATTATTATTGTTATTACTTTGTAGGAAATTATAACTCTCGGTAAATAATTATAAACCCACTAACATTTATATATACAAAATAGTCATAAATATGAGAAACAGAAAAACGGCAAAAGCATTATTATCTGGTTATTATGTTTTGGAAACACGAGAGACAGTAAGACTGAGTAAAATTGTGAGTTTGAGGTCAAATGTAGATTAAATATCTGTCGGAATCCGACAAAAGGATAAGATAAAGAATAAGTAAAGTGTATACAGTCTTTCTCATATGTTTTTTATATAGATGTGTGCAATGTTTTTTTTAGATAATTTAGTTAGAAAATACAAGTGTTTGGGGTTTTCTTACCTTATTTTTGTTGAGTGCTAAAAGATAAATGTTACTATTATGGCATGAAAAAGAAAAGGTGTTGAAATTTTCGTTGACGCACGTGCTAACGACCTGCCCATGTGAACTGCTTGTCCGATAGTGAGAATGTCACGTGTTTGTGTGCGTAGAGGAGAAAAGTGGGGTAGATGCTCATTGGTTTAGAATGAATGAATTAATGATAATTACAATTGTTATAATTATTTC